TGCTCGTGGCTAGTGTTCTCCCATTTGAGCCATGTCTCCAGTACTTCATTTTGCTGGTTAATTGGAGAGGAAAATCTTGTGGACTTTTTTTTTTGGGGGGGGGAGTTTCTGGGCTGGCTCTGAACTATGATTTTTCAGGTCTCAGCTACCTGAATAGCTAGGATTCCAGATGTGAGCCACTGGTGACCAACTGAAAATAAGTTGGGGTCCTGTTTGTCATTGATCTGAAAGTATTTCTGTGTGTATTTCTCAAGAACAAGGATGTTGTCTTGCACATGCAAAGAATAGTTGTACAAGGAAGAAATGTAGTGTTTGGGGCTGGGAAGGTGGCTCAGTGGTAGAGCGCTTGCCTTGCATGCATGAGGCCCTGGGTTCGATTCCTCAGCACCACATAAGCAAAAAGAAAAAAGCCGGAAGTTGCGCTGTGGCTCAAGTGGTAGAGCACTAGCCTTAAGCTGAAGGGCTGAGGGACAGTGCCCAGGCCCAGAGTTCAGGCCCCACGACCGGACCCAAAAAAAAATAAAAAAATAAAAAATAAAAAAAGAAATGTAGTGTTGATCCAATGCGGCACTGAAAGTTCAACAGAGGCCCAGGGAATCTATCAGCCATCAGGAATTGTTCCCTGGCATTGACAAGAACAGTACAGGACAGCAACAATGCAACTTGCCAGTCACTTAGTGTCTCTTCCTCTTGTTAGACACTGGGACTTGTGCCGTGAGGTCCTACTGATCCCATACAGGGGCCTTGAGTATCTGAGTTATGTAGTATGGAGATCATTTTCCCAGTTCTGTGATTCAAATCCTAAGTGGTTTTGGTGAGGGTATGTGTGTGCTGGTCCTGGGGCTTGAACTCAGGGCGTGGGTGCTGGTCCTGATCATTTTTTAATGAGTTTTTTTATTGTGAAAATACTATACAGAGGGGTTATAGTTATATGACAAGGTAATGAGTACATTTCTTATCAAGCCTTGTTGCCTCCTCCTTTGATTTTCCCCTACCATCCCTTCCCTCCCCCCTCCTCAACTGATCATTTTTTTGTTGTTGTTCAAGGCTAGTGTTCTACTACTTCAGCCATAGGTCCACTTCCAGCTTTTTAGTGGTTAATTAGAGATAAAAGTTTCTCAGACTTTCTGCTCAGTCTGGTTTTGAACCACAATCCTCAGATCTCAGCCTTCTCAGTAGCTAGGATTTGCAGGCATGAGCCGCCAGTTACCAGTTTTAACAACACAATGAATATAGGAATCTGTTCTCTGGAAGAAATTTAAAATGAGACAGAGAAGTTAAAGTCTTTTTGTCCACATTTCCCAGTTCCACTCCCTTAACCTCTTCCTGGAAGTCAGCACACCTAATTGAACTTGGTCCTGTTATCCGGCAAGAGAAGAATTTAGGCAAGGTGTGAAATGTAGTAAAAGTTGTAGGATAGTTGGTGAGCAGAGGCATGCACTTTCAACAGACCGAAAGTGAGAGTTTCCTCTCTAGGGGCAGAATGACAGTGTACATATTTTGCTTTGTTTTTGGGTTTTTTGGTAGTGGTCCTGAGGTTTGAACTCAGGGCTTGGAGCTATCCTTGAGCTTTTTCACTCAAGGCTAGCGCTCTATCATGTTAAGCCACAGCTCCATTTCCAGCTTTTTGGTGATTAATTAGAGCTAAGAGTCTCACGGACTTTCCTGCCTGGGCTGGCTTCAAACATTGATCCTCAAATCTCAGCCTCCTGAGCAGCTAGGATGACAGGTGTGAGTCACCAGCACCTGGCGTAAATAACTTTTACACAGAAGGCAGAAGTCGAGCTTTCTCTGAAATGATGGAAGCAAATGAATTTGACTCCCTTTTCAGCTCCATGTCCAAAGCAAGCAATGCCCTCTGGAGACCCAATGCCTCTCTGCACATTTAGCAAACTTCCACCAGGGGAAAAAGATTCCTATTTCTACTCTTGGTGAAGCATTTTGTGCCATCTGGGCTGCCTGGATTCCAACAAAGACAGTAAGGAAACATATCTCAGGGAAAATCAACAGTGGGTCCCACCAAGCGTGGTCTAGAGAGGTTCGTGTGGGGCACTCTTGTCTTCTGGGAACTAAGGCTTGACTTTGAAGAGTTTCACAAAGGCCAGGCCTTTGGAGCCTCGCCTGTAGCTATCATCAACTGCTCTTATGCAATGTGTTCTCTAGCCAGAGCTCTGGCAGGTTGGAACACCAACCATTCCAGAATCAATTCTCCTCCATTTCTCCCAGAAAATTTTAGTGTCTTTAGATTCAAGTGGACAAAAGATCTTCAAAGGTGAGGTCATGATCCAGTGAGAATGGTTGCTTTGTGGGGAGGTCTATGCTCAAGACAGGTCATGCTTTTTCATTGGTTGTTTGTTTTTGTCGGTCCTAGGTCTTGAACTCAGGGCCTGGGTGCTGTCTCTGAGCTCTTCTGCTCAAGGCTAGCACTCAACCAGTTTGAGCCACAGCACCACATCCTGCTATCTGGTGGTTCATTGGTGATAAATGTCTCATAGATTTTCTTGCCCGGGCTGGCTTTGAACCGTGATCCTCACATCTCTGCCTCCTGAGTAGCTAGGATTACAGGCATGTGCTTTCAGTGGCTCACTAGACAAATCATTCTTAAGTCACTAGTCTTGAGACCCAAAGCTTCATCCTGCCTAGGGATCTTACACTTAAAATGCAAGACTTCCCTTCCCTACCAACACTTGTATTGATGGTGTCAGTTCATAAAGCATGGAACTAGAGGAAGTGGTGTTAGCAGAGAGAGGAAAGATGAGCTGTTTCTACTTGCACATGTGTTGTCAATCACACAGACAGACAAGTTTCTGGCCCTTCCATGTGTCATCAATCATGGTGGGTTTTTTTTTGAAGTGCAGTTCACTCTATGATGGAAGTGCCATTCCAGACTACAAACTGCCACCTGCTATTTTCCTTGGAAGATTCAAGAAATGAGAGAAAATAACAGTTGGGGATCTTCCTCGATGGGGGAGAGCCGTGTTGGTATCTTAAGAAAGCGTCAATCTGCAGAACTGTGCCAGCCAGGGTTCTCTGTGGGCCAGCTCCGGCCTCAGCTTGGAAACTTGTCAGAGAAGCAAATGAACACACTCAGAATTTTCAAACCGGGGGGGCTGGGAAGGTGGCTCAGTGGTAGAGTGCTTGCCTTGCATGCTCGAGGCCCTGGGTTCAATTCCTCAGCACCACATAAGCAAAAAGAAAAAAGCCGGAAGTAGCACTGTGGCTCAAGTGGTAGAGCACTAGCCTTGAGCTGAAGAGCTGAGGGACAGTGCCCAGGCCCAGAGTTCAGGCCCTACTACCAGACCCCCCCCCCCAAAAAAAAAGAATTTTCAAACCGGCATCACTGTGTGGGATGGGTCCTGGGATGGACTCTGGTGATCCTTCTGCTCCCCCAGGGTTGAGAAGGTCAAACGGAGGGTCAAGGGCACAGTTTTCAAGAAGAAATAGCTCAGGTGGTTTTGTTAACTATTGACCTATTTAGGAGTGGTTAAGTCTGCATAAAAACAGACACATGTAGGAAAAGAGGGCACTACAAAATAATAAGAAGAAGAATATATAACAATTATAATAGCAATGCCACTATCATTTATGGAGTGTTTTCTATGATCTCAATTCTGTGCTATGCATGAATTTGTGTGTGTGTGTGTGGGGGGGTGCTGGTACCAGGGTCTGAACTCAAGGCCTGGGCCCTGACCCTGAGCTTTTTGGCTCAAGGCTAGCACGTTACCACTTTAGCTATACCTCCACTTTTAGCTTTTGGTGGTTAATTAGAGATAAAAGTCTCATGGACTTTCCTGTCCAGGGTGGCTTTGAACTCTCAGTCCTCAGATCTCAGCCTCTTTAAGTAGATAGGATGACAGGTGTGAGCCAGCGGGGCCAGCCATCTTGTCATTTTGAACCTGCAGAACTCTTGCTCTTGTCTTATTTCATCTGTGGAACACTGAGAGAAGATGTTGATGATGGTGTGGAAATTGGTATCTTTGTCTTACTCCTGGCTTTGATGGGATTGAGTTCACCCGGCTCTGTGTTGCAGTTATTTCAGACAGCCCTGATCCTGTTAAGAAATGTCTCTGCTATTTCCAGATAACTACAACGACCTTAAGGTTTTCTCCTTTCACCTATAAATTGATGAGTGTATTAATAATAGATTTCGGAAGGTTGAATCATCCTTGCATTTCTGGTACGAGTCATTATATATTCAACTTCTAGCACATAATTTGATTCATTTTTGGATTAAATATATTACCTTGGATCTTTCCTTCTCCCGCTGTCCCTCCCTCTCTACTCTCTTTCTTCCTTCCCCTTTCTCACTTTCTTTTTCCCTCTCTCTTTCCCCTTCCTTCCTTCCTTCCTTCCTTCCTTCCTTCCTTCCTTCCTTCCTTCCTTCCTTCCTTCCTTCCTCCCTTCCTCCCTTCCTCCCTTCCTTCCTCCCTTCCTCCCTTCCTCCCTTCCTTCCTCCCTTCCTCCCTTCCTTCCTCCCTTCCTTCTTTCCCTCCCTCCCTCCCTCCCTCCTTCCCTCCCTCCCTCTCTCCTTCCTTCCTTCCTTCCTTCCTTCCATCCTTCCTTCCATTCTTCCTGCCTTTTTTTGGTGCTGTTATTGAGGCTTGAACTCAAGGCCTGGGCATTTTCCCTGAGCTTTTTCATTCAAGGTTGGTGCTCTACCACTTGAGCCACAACTTCACTTCTGACCTGTTTTTTGGTGGTTGATTGGAGATAAGAGTCTCACTGACTTCCCTGCCTGGGCTAAGCTTTCAGCTGCAAGCCTCGGATCTCAGCCTTTTGAGTAGCTAGGATCGTAAGCGTGAGCCACGGGGGCCTGGCACCATTGGTTTTTGTAGAATGCACATTCCCTCTGTACAGGGGTGACTGAGGAAGGATGTACATTCTGCAGCCATCTTCAGTGCCTGGGTGGCTGTGGTGGGGGATGGCTTGTCTGTTGTGTTCTAAAAGGTGTTTGGTCGTTAGGGGCATGGTTAATGTTTAAACTGCTTTTTCTTTTCCAGTTAGAGATGCTAAAAACCTTGTCCCTATGGACCCCAATGGCTTGTCCGACCCCTATGTAAAACTGAAACTCATCCCTGATCCCAAAAGCGAGAGCAAGCAGAAGACCAAAACCATCAAATGCTCCCTCAATCCCGAGTGGAATGAGACCTTCCGATTGTAAGTTGACATGGAAGCCACTAAGCCTGGGCAGTTAGCAGCTGCGGACGTGGGTTACCTGAGAAGGAAGGACCTCCCCTCACTTCCTGTTTCCTTCCCTTTCCTTCCCTTTTCCTCATTTCCCTCCATGAGCCATCTGTGGTTCAAGCAATATATATATATACATATATGCATATGTGTATATATATATATATATCACATATTTTATTTTACTTTAAATTTCTTAATTTATTTATATGTTGGGGCTTGAACTTAAAGCTTGAGCGGTTTTTTCTCAAGGCTAACTCTCCACCACTTGAGCCACAGCTCTACTGCTGGCTTTTTGCTGGTTAAGTGGAGGTGAGAGTCCAGTGAATTTTCCTGCCTGGGCTGGCTTTGAACTATGATCCTCAGGTCTCAGCCTCCTGAGTAAGCTAAGATGACATGCGTGAGTCACCAGCACCCAGCATTGTTTTTCATGTTTTTATTGGTGTGTGTAAATGTGTGTGTTGACACTATGGCTTGACCCCTGGACCTCTTTTTGCTCATGGCTGGCACGCTACCATTTGAACCACACCTCCAGTCTAGCATTTTGCTGGCTAACTGGAGATGGAGTCTCGCAGGCTTTTCTGTCTGTGCTGGCTTCTAACCATAATTCTCCAGACCTCAGATTCCTGAGTAGCTGCGATGACAGGTATGAGCCACCAGTGCCCGGCTATAGAACCTATCTTAAAAGTAGAACTGAGAAAGTGTGATGTAGGGAATGAATAGGATGGGGGCCACTCAGCGTGCTGCAGGTGAAGGGATGTTGTAGGACCCCCAACCTGCCATAGAGTTGGTGACCACCTCTCCAGAAGGGCCTTCCTCAGCCAGGAGGAATCTGGGACCAACAGGTGACCCACATCTGACCAACAGGCATTCACTACCACAGCCAGCTGATGTGTAACAGACCCTAGTTAGGTTCTAACTTCATTGCTTCATTTCTTCCCCGCTTTCTAGATGGTTCTTATACAACTTGAAGGCAGTTTTCTTAAGGCCCATAGTAGCTTTGGGTGCAGCAGGGTTCACCTTGGGCAATAGGTCAGAGATCATGGTTCCAGCTATGGGCTGGTGCTTCCGGTCACCGGCTGACACTTCTGGTCACCTGGTGACCTTTGGGTTCCTTAGGGGTAGCCCCAGATTCTCTACCGTTTTCCAGGGAAAAACACTTGAAATGTCAACCAGGGCCACCCTTAGCTCACAACCCTTTCCTGTGACTCAACCAGCCCCCTTCTCCCCAGATACTTTCTCAGTTGTGTCTTTAAGTCACAAGTGCATACATGCATGCACACACACACACACACACACGAGTGTGAACACCCCCTTCCCCCAATCACCCCAGTTATACAGTGGGTACTGGTGTTCCTCAGTGACTGACAGCAGGACTTCCCAAACACCATGAACTCAGTGAAGGCCTAGGCTGCTGACCCAGCTAAGGTGGTTTTCGTGGGAGCTAGTCCTGGCTTTCTCCAGCTTCTGCCATCGGCTGCCAGTCAGGAAAAGCCTCTGGGGAGTGGGGACTGGGCGTGTTTCTTGCAGTAGCTTGCAGTGTTTAAAACATGTCTATCTCTGGGTCTTGTCTGCTTGTACATTTTGTTTTCTTGAGGAGTCAGGAAGGCCTGACCTGTTTCTCTCTCCCTTTTTTTTTTTCTCTCCTTCAGTCAGCTAAAAGAATCGGACAAAGACAGGAGGCTGTCAGTGGAGATCTGGGACTGGGACCTGACTAGCAGGAATGACTTCATGGGGTCGTTGTCATTTGGGATTTCTGAACTGCAGAAAGCTGGTGTGGATGGCTGGTAAGAAAGATTTTTTTTCCTCTGGAAATGGCAAACCCGAGATCAGGCATATTTTGCTTCTCCCCTCCCCCCTCCCCCCCCAAAAAAAAGAAACACAAAAAACAAGCAGAGGCCAAAAGAGACAGTTGGTGGCTTGGATCTCCTCACAGACACATCTTACTTGGTTAATGAAAAAGCCAAGTGTGATGGTGGTGCATGCCTGTAATTCCAGTACTCAGGAGGCTGAGGCAGGAGGATTGGAAATTTAAGGCCAGCCTGGGCTCATTAGTGAGACTTTGTGTCTGTCTCAAAATCAATGTATGAGCAAAGAAACAAGCCAAGTGGAGGAAGGAGAAGGAGAGGGGGAGGACAAAGAAGAGGAAGAGAAAGGAGGAGAAAGGAGAAGGAAGAGGGAGGAGAGGGAACAAAGGAGGAAGAGGAGGATCAGGAAGAGGAATGAATTGCTAGTATTTAAAAATACTTGGGAAGCGTTGTTTGGCCAACATCCACTAGGACAGAGCCAGCCCCAGGCCTCACTCCCCACCCCCCCCCCTTGTAATCACACACCTGCCCCACGTGACACAATGCCAGGACTTGGCACGTCAGGAGAGCACTAAAGTGGTTCTCATGGTTTAATCAAACACATCTGTCCGATTTCAATTCCCTAAGGGAGGAGTCTCCCTGGAGAGTTCTAGCCAGGCCAAGATCAGTCACAACATCTCTTCTCTTCTGGAGATTTAACACGGCTCCCTTCACATGTAAACAACAACAACAACAATAACAGCAACAACAAACTGTCCACTTCCAGTATGTCCAGCTTGGAAGGTGGGGCCTTCAACACTGTGAGGAAGGATCTGAATTCAAATAGCCCAGCTTACCACAGTCAGTTTAAAAGTACCCATAGGCACAGCTCTTATTTCTTTGAGATAAAACCATCTTATTTCTGAATTATCTCATCCGGGACCTTTTTCAGTGCCAAGTGGAAGAAAAGGAAACACAACCACCACCACCAAGTGTTTTGCCAGAACGTGTTGTGCTTTCTGGACTAAACCTGCTGGCTCCCATCTACCTTACAACTTCCTGCGCTTGCTCTGCTTTGCTGACCCGAGTGTCTGCTAGGGTCTAGTCTCCAGGGACCTATCACAGTTTGAACAGACACAGCCTCGTGAACTTAACCTGTGGCAGGAAATGGGCTGGAGGTAAACCCTGAGCAAGAAATTACACACGAGAAGTTGATGTTGAGGGCGGGAAAGTAATTTAAAAAGCCCCTTTAAGTTATGCATCGTTCTCAGGGTGTTAAAAACATAATTCTTATGAAACAGACAATGAGCATTTGTGTCAAGGTTTTGCTTAAGCACATTAAGGACAAAAGCAGCAGGAAAGCTGGGCTCTGGTAGCTCACGCCTCTGATCCTAGCTATTCAGGAGGCTGAGATTGGAGGATCACGGTTCAAAGCCAGCTTGGGCAGAAAAGTCCATGAGACTCTTATCTCCAATTAACCACTAGAAAACCGGAAATAGTGCTGTGGCTCAAGCAGTAGAATGCTTGCCTTGAACTAAAGAGCTGCAGGATAGCGCCCAGGCCCAGAGTTCAAGCGCCAGGACCAACCAAAAAAAAAAAATACAGCAGGAAAAAAAACAACCCACAATTGATACCACAGAAGATGTGAGGGACTGCTATTCAGGTAATTCATAGAAAAAGGAAAATGGAAACAAGTTGGCAAGGGATGGAGGTGCTGCTCAAGTGATAGAAGCATGCGGTCATGGGGCTTGAACTCAGGGCCTGGATGCTGTCCCTGAGCTTTTTCACTCAAGGTTAGGGCCCTACCACTTTGAGCCACAATGGCACTTCCAGTTTTCTGGGGGGTTCACTGGAGATACGAGTCTCATGGACTTTCCTGCCCGGGCTGGTTTTGAATCTCGATCCTCAGATCTCAGCCTCCTGAGTAGCTAGGCTGACAGGTGTGAGAAACACTGGCACCACGTTCCATTGCCTCCGCTCACTGCGGTTTGGGTGCCTTGAGTCCCACACAGTGACTGGCAGTTCAGGTGAGTATCTTCCCTCGCAGCTGAGCCCAGCCTGGCAGTGGGTGTATCACATGCTCTGTCACACCCCGTGACACCATCTTCAGAACCGGGTCCTTAAGCGACACCCAGATGGCTATAACTTAAGATGGGGTGTCAGCAGCCACAGGGAAGACCCCCCAGATGCCAGGCACCAGCCTGAGCCCCTCTGATCTGTCTCTCTGCTCCCATGGCTCCATGTCTGCCGGCTGGGCCTCTCCTTCCCCGATCCATGTGTTAATGCCATTCTCCTCTTGTTCCCCTTGATCGCCCAGGAACTCATCTGTTCTGCTTGTTTACTTTTTCTTCTGAGAAGGAGCTGTGAGATTTGTGGCTCTCTTTCCTCTCCTCTCGGGGTTTGTTTTGGGCTTGTCTTTGACTTGCAGTTGAGTATTTTGCTAATTGGTTTTTCCTCCCTCCGCTGGTAGTCGGCTCTTTCAGGATAATGAGTCCGGCGTGCAGGGGAGCAGGTAATTCCTCTAAGCTTTTGTCCCTCCTGTCCTGGCTTTTGTTCCCATCCAAGGTCTGCAGGTGTGTTTTTAATTTCGGTTCTAACTCGCCTGTATTTACCGAGGCTTTTCAACAGCTAGCTTTGCATTTACATTTTTATTACTGATGCTCAATTACACTTAGGTGTTTTATAGTCATAGCCAACTGCTGTGGACAGTTGTGGTAATACTATGTGTGCCAGCCAGCCCTAAGGCATGGTGTGTGTGTGTGTGTGTATGCACGCGTGCGTGCACACACGCGGGCACCAGTACCAGGCTTGAACTTGGTGCCTCCTGCTCTTGCTTAGCTTTTTTTTTTGTTGTTGTTCAAGGCTGGTGCTCTACCCCTTGAGCTGCACCTCTACTTCCAACGTTTTGCTGGTTCTTTGGACATAAGAGTCTCTAGATTTGTCTGTCCAGGCTGGGTTCAAACTGCGATCTTGAGAATTGAGCCTCCTGAGTCTCTAGGATGACAGGTGTGAGCCACTAGTGCCCAGCTAAGCACCTCATTTCTTGCTAGGTGAGACCCAAGGGATGCTGGGTAGTTCTTGTCCTGGAGGATGGCACCCAAAGGCCATGAGTATGATGTGCAGGCGGGAGACAGGGATGTGGGCAGTGGGTGTGTCAGAGTCCCCCAGAGCCTTGAACACACAGGACATAGGTCAAAGCGCCTGGGAAATGATCCCCATCACTAGAACCTAGTGCCAGGAGCGTCGGGAGACAGGGTTCTCGGCGTCCTGTCAACACTGTGCCATTTCTTTTCTCTGGTGTGCTCAGAATACAGGCCAAGAGCCCCGTGTCTGACAGCTGTGGAGCCGGAAGTGTTTTGGCTTTCAGGAATTTTTGGAGGTTGGGGGGCATTTGCATATTCATAATGGGATGTGAGGATATTTGCATATTCATAATAAGATGACCCGAGTCTAAATGGGAAGCTCGTTTGTTTCCCACGCACTCTATTCACATTGTCTGAAGGAGATGTTTGGCAGTGGTGTGTGTGTGTGTGTGTGTGTGTGTGTCTGTGTGTCTGTGTGTGTGTGTGTGTGTGTGTGTGTGTGTGTGTGTGTGTGTGTGTGTACCGGGGTTTGAACTCCGTGCCTCATACTCTTGCTTAGCTTTTTTTGCTCAAGGCTGGCACTCTACCACTTGAGCCAAAGCTTCACTTCTGGCTTCTTTGGTAGTTGGCTAAAAGTCAGGCACTGGTGGCTCATGCCTGTCATCCTAGCTACTGAAATGTGGCTGAATGAGGCTGAAATGTGAGGATCATGGTTCGAAGCCAGTCTGACAGGAAAGTCTGCGAGACTCTTAGCTCCAATAAACTACCAAAAAAGCTGAAAGTAGTGCTCTGGCTCAAGTGGTAGAGCGCTAGCCTTGAGCAAAATGAAGCTCCAGGGAAGCAGCCAGGCCTGGAGTTCAAGCCCCGGGACTGGCACCAAAAATCAAAAAGTGAAAATGAATTTTTGCATAAAACAAAGTTTTATTTGCAGTGCCTTCTCTGTAATCCAAAAGTTTTGGATGATGGGACGTTTGGGATTTTTGTTTTGGTGGAGGATGACTGAATGTTCCCAAAGTACCTTGTGTGCTTGGTGCACACGCATGTACACACACCCTACACACAAACACACGCACATGTACACAGATGCAGGCACACAAGTGTGCACACACTCCTCCAGAACCAGCCACACAAACTCCAAGGGAGCAAAAGGCCCTCATTGCAGGCTTTTGGAGGCCCCTGTAATGCTGTCTCCACAGAGATGCATCCTCCGCTGTCTTTGTCTCCTCTTAGGTTCAAGTTGCTGAGCCAGGAGGAGGGAGAGTACTTCAATGTGCCTGTACCACCGGAAGGAAGCGAGGGGAATGAGGAGCTGAGGCAGAAATTTGAGGTGAGTCTCTCTCCTCTCCGCCTCAGAGGAACAAGTACCTCTAACCTCCCTTGGCTGTTTTATTTTCTGTGGGTGAGGTTACATCTACCCAGGCCTTTTATGACTCTGGGCCTTTGTGATGCTGTGCCATCTCCTACAAAACTCCTACCGATGCTTCAAAACCCCAGAGAAATACCCTTCCCCTTGTGTAGTCCTTCCTGTGGCCCTGTCCAAATTTGGCCTTCCCCATTTCCTCAAAAGTGCTCCTTCAGGGTCAGCTGGCTTTGAGGCTGAGTGGATGGGAAGAGTGGTGAGTTACTGAAAGGGGGGACAGAAGGATATAGAGGCCAAGCCGGTGAGGTTTGGGGGGAGGGGCCTCCTGGCAGGCTGGGGGCTGGACTGTCACAGGTTCCCGTGGGCTGCTCGCCCTGAGAGAACTCAACCAAACCAGTCACACTTGACTCTGTCCTTGGATAAACCCTCCCCTGCTTTCTGGGGACCGCTGAACCCCAATTTTAGGCATGTGGGAGCAGCAGGTAAGCAGAACCTATCCCAGTTTTGCCAAGAAGATGTTTTGGCAAAGGCAGGCTCGTATTGAGTCACTTCAATGTCGTTTGGGGGGGAATCTGGTTTACTCACACAAACAGAATGAGCTGCGTGTGGTAGAAGCCCTCAATTTTAGATAAGCAATGGCATCCTAGGCACCGTCCTGTGGCAGAGCTAGAAGGAGCTGAGCTACTGTTTCCTATGAAATAATCACGCAAAAACCTTGTGAAGGTGTGGACCATACATAAAGTTCTCAAACGAGACATGGAGTGTGTGGAGAGTATGTGAAGAACAACGTTACCTTGTCTGAAAAGAGGCGGAAATGCAGTGGAAATGAGCCAGAGGAGAGCCAAGAGCTTTCCATCCGGAAAGAACTGTAGGTGCAAAGGCCCTGGGGTGGCTTGTTCCATCACCATTCTAGGAGACTGAACAAAAGCTATTGTGAGCATGCAGCAGGGAAGGCCGTCGGGGGAGGGGGGGTAAGTGCGAGGGAGGGCTAGGGAAGAGGTAGGGCCAGAGTAACAGGATTGCTCAGCCTTTGGCAGAGTTTTTGTTTGTTGCCAGTCATGGGTCTTGAACACAAGGCCTGGGCACTGACCCTAAGCTCTTTTTTTTTTCTTTTTTGTGGGGGGGGAGTTCTGGTCATGGGGCCTGAACTCTGGGCCTGGGCGCTGTCCCTCAGCTCTTCAGCTCAAGGCTAGCGCTCTACCACTTGAGCCACAGCACCACTTCCGGCTTTTTTCTTTTTGCTTATGTGGTGCTAAGAAATCGAACCCAGGGCCTCTGGCATGCAAGGCAAGCGTTCTACCACTGAGCTACCTTCCCAGCCCCAACCCTGAGCTCTTTTGCTCACAGTTCTTCTTCCGGTTTCCTGGTGGTTCATTGGAGATAAGAGTCTCACAGACTTTCCTGTCCAGACTGGCTCTGAACCGTGATCCTCAGATCTCAGCCTCCTGAGTAGCTAGGATGACAGGCATGAGCCACTGGCACCCGGCTGGCATTGATTTTTGACGTGTCTCCCAAGAGTCATTTTAGTTTTGCAAACCTCAGCTCAACAGAAATCTAAGCCCCTGTGTTGTTTGTGGAGCCCAAGCCTTCTACGCAGCCTGGAGTGAGAGAATGGTTCAGACCCCGTTGGTCTCCCTGGAAACAAGTGGAATAAACTCACTGGACTTGAGCTTTTCCACCATTTTTCAGTGACCTTGGTAATGAAAGGTCATTTCTATAGACCTGTAGGGGCTACAGGCCTGGACAGCAGAGATGCCCAGCCCATCTTCGAAGTTTCTCCATCTCTCTCCCCCATCTTTCTGCTCACGTACTTTCCTTTTGCTGCTGTGTTTAAGATGGTACAATAGTGGCTGTAAAAAAAAAAAAAAAGCCAAAAAAAAAAAACAAAAACAAAACCAGGGCTGGTATTTTCATAAACTGAAGCTTCTGTTTTTGCAAAATGATTTCTTCTGTCCTGGGGCAGCTGGGGTGACATTTCAGAACACAACAACCACCATCACCACCACAACAAATCTTCTCCACAAACAGAGCATTTGTCTGGGCCCGTAATTGGCTTGAAGTGGAGAACTATTTTATCTGCATGCGACAAAATGTGTGTCTTTCTTTCTAGCGGGAGCCCGCAAATGCTTGTTTATGCCTGAATTGTAATCGCGCCATACCATAGTGCTTGATTACAAAAAAAAAAAAATGTTTCCAACAGAACGAAAATTGTCCTCAGACGTACGAGAAATTTCAGTTGACCTTGAATGTGAGAAACAGAATCCCAGCGTGCTAACCAGTTAGCACCCGGAATGCGTCCGAAATTACCTTCTAGCGTCTTCTCTGGAGGAAGGAATTTGGGGGTGATGATACAATGGAGCTGCTGGAGTTGGAGTGGTTGAGCTTTGGGAATAGGTGACCTTGGGAACAGGGGGCAGTCACAGACCACCAGGGCTGGCTTTGTCTAGGAGATGCTTTAAGTGGCTCAGAATGCATTTTCCTGATCAGTTTAGGGTGCATTTATTGATTTACAGTGTGCCATTTATTCATCTCACTGCTGTACAGATAAATACTGACTCCTGTAATTCCCCTAGAACATCCCTGACTGTGCTGTGGTCATTCCCAGTTTTCTTTGTCAGATAAGTAAAACTGAGGCCCAAAGAAATGACAGCCCAGGTCTCAGGGCTGATCATTATCTTGGTTTTGAGTCTCCCCAGAAAATAGACTGTGAGAAGAAGCATTCAGAGGTGGGTTTGGAGGTGCATGCCTGTCAAATCTACGTTCTGGAGGCAGAGACAGGAGGATCATGAGGTAGAGGCCAGTTATGGGGCTATGTATGGAGACCTAGTCTCAAAAGCAACAACACAGTAAAGGAGTCAAGTGCAAATGGTTTATTTAGGAGCAGGTCCCTGCAGAGGTGGGGGAGAAAGAGGAAGGAGGAGGAAGGGTAGGTATAGCAATTTCTCAGCAGCAGGAGGGGAGATGAGCCTTGGGGCACTGCATCCAACAAGTACCACAATCCAGAGAGGCTGGATTTCCCCATCTAACAACCGTGCTATATTCACACACCAACAACGCCCATCCTTTCCACTTTGTCTAGCTAAATGGCTTATAAAATCTAACAAGGCATCAGCGCTCTGTAAGTAGCCATTACTTACCCATGGCAGAAGAATACCTATTCATGTCCAGGGCAGACCCAGTGGCATTTTCACTGATTCTCTGGATTCTCCCTGGGTTGTATGAACTGGCAGGTGCAGTCCAAGGGCCAGTGGTTGGATCCGGGCTACATGGTGGCTCGGGGCTGGATGGAGTTCCCATCTGCAGTGGGGGCTCCCCTGCCCAGTTCCCTTCCCTGGGCCTTTGTCCCCAGCCCCCCTGTGGTGGCTGTATCAGAAGTGGAGCCCCCCCCCTCCCCCCCGCAGGGATGCAGGTGTGAAAGCTGGCAGCCCCAGCTGTAAGGGGCACCAAGGGCCTGGGCCAGCACCAGCTGCCACATCCGTGTGACAGGGACCCAGTTAGTGGTGGCTCTGGGCAGCCTGCCTGGATTTGAACCCTGCTCTCCCAGTCCCTGGCTGAGTGATTGTAGGCAAGCTACTCTCTTTCTCTCTCTGAGCTTTGGACTTGCCTTCTACTAAAGTGGGGTGATGGTTACATAGCTTGATGCGTTGCATACCCAGCTCCCCTTTCAAATAAATATGGGGTGTGTGGGCAGGGAGATTCTACCGGGGCTCCACGCTGTTAGTGGCTGGCCTTTATTCCAGGGTGGCAGGGACCCTCACCCCCCGGGAGCTCCCTCTAGGACTCGGGGTGCACAGATGTCTGTGGTTTAAGGCAGGACAGGGGTTCACCCTCTGAGAGGGAGTGGGGCCCAGCCCTGGGAGCCTACACAGCCCCCCTGGACAGCAGCGGGGCTGCCCACCCGCTTCGAGGGGCTCCCCATTTGCTTCCTCTCTGAGCACTGAGTTCCTGGGCTCTAAATGGCACACATGGAAGGCAACCATTTCTGGAGTCTGTTCTGAGTCATATCCTTTACCCAGCAAAAGGACAACTTTAATTTGGACTTCCATTTCACCCCTTGGATGACTCGGCCAGGCGGTGGGAGGCTGTGGGTGTGTAGACGCAAGGTGATGGCTCTTCACCCCTCAGAGGTTTGTGACAGGGCACAAACCCATGTGCTTATGGGATCCAGATGGACATCCAGTGTGTGGGGGGGGAGGGGAACACAATGCTTTAAATATTAAAATAGCAACAAACACTGGGAAAGATAGACCAGTGTTATTAGACTCCTCATCTAGATGCTAGATACTCAGCTAAGCACGCTGGATGAGTTGTGTTTGGCTGCTGTAACAAAGTGTCTGAAGATGGGTATTTCAGAGAAGAAAAAAGGTTTTTTGTTTTCTTGGTTGTGAGGCTTGAACTCAGGGCCTGGGCACTCTCCCTGAGTTCTTTTGCTCAAGACTAGTGCTCTACCACTTTGAGCCACAGCGCCACTTCTGGTGTTTAGAAGATAAAGAGTCTCACAGACTTTCCTACCCTGGGCTGGCTTCAAACTGTGATCCTTAGATCTCAGCCTCCTGAGTAGCTAGGATCACAGGTGTGAGCCACCAGTACCCAGCTTGGAGTTTTCTTTCTTTCTTTCTTTCTGTCTTTCTTTCTTTCTTTCTTTCTTTCTTTCTTTCTTTCTTTCTTTCTTTCTTTCTTTCTTTCTTTCTTTCTTTCTTTCTTTCTTTCTTTCTTTCTTTCTTTCTTTTTTTCTTTCTTTCTTTCTTTCTTTCTTTCTTTCTTTCTTTCTTTCTTTCTTTCTTTCTTTCTTTCTTTCTTTCTTTCCTCCTTCCTTCCTTTCCTCCCTCCCTCCCTCCCTTCCTTCCTTCTTTCTTTTTTCCCATTTTGGAGGCTGAAAGTATTACCCATTTGGGTTCTGCTGAGGACTGCCCGGGGCTGGGTCACTAGGCGGTGGGAACAGGAATCATGAGCGGATGGTGGAGGGTGGTCCATCATCTACCCACCTCCCATGAGGCTCCGCCCCTCACTTCAATTCCCCTGGCACCAGAGCATCCAGCCTGGACCCTCTGGGAAACAAACCAGAGCACAAAGCAAGCTGGATGGAGTAGAAGCAGAAACTCCATGGACAGCAGCCCAAACCAAACAACAACAAAAAACCCACCAGTTCCTTGGCTCTAAGTCAAGCCAATTCTCTAAGTCAAGTCAAATGAGCCCAGTGGAAAGTGTGAGCTCTGCCCCCTGTTTCCATGGCAATGGGCTGGGACCACACCCCCACACACCCTGGAAGCCCCTCTCTCCCTACCCAGGGAGAGACTGCCCAGAAGACCTGCTGGGGGCTTGAGGAGAAGCCATGTGAGGGTGGATGGGAGGGGGTGGGGGGAAAGAACGTGGGTTCCCCTAGGGACAGAGGGGATGATGATGTTGATGATTTGGGGGTGTTGTGTAGTATGTAGCTCAAGTCAGTGTGGCTTTTGTCCTGGTCCCTTGTTTTCTGTGATGGCTCCATCACAAAGAAAATAATCTCCTGGTTTCAATAACTCCCACGTCTCTGTCTCCATTTCAGGTACCTTTTCTTCTTCCAGTCCTGGGGCTTGAACTCAGGGCCTGGGTTTTTCCATTCTACCACTGAATCACCTGTGTCCACTTCGGGCTTTCTGGTGGTTAATTAAACAGTAGAGTCTCATGGTCTTTTTCTGCTCAGGGTGGCTTCGAGTTGAACCCTCAGTTCTCAGCCTCCTGAGTAGCTAGGATTACAGGTATAAGCCACCAGCACCTGGCATAACCAGTTCCTTTGTTGTTGTTGGTGGTGGTGGTGGTTAAACAGGGAGATGGTGGTTTATTCCTCTGGTGCAAAGAAGCATCTACTATGTGCCAGGCCCTGCTCCAGGTACCACGCACACAGCAGAAGACAATACAGACTAAATCCTTTCCCTAAAACAACCTTGGGTTCTGCTGAGAAGGGAGAGACAATATAAGGAAATAGGTGGTTTGTGAGATGGTGATGGGTGATGTGGAAAGAAAAAAAACAAAGGAAGGCAAATGGAAATTGCTAAGAGTTATTTGATATACACCCATCATTGCTGGAGAAAGTATATACCCAGCAACTGCAAAGGCCCTGGGGTGTGAATACATTCTGTGTATTCAGAGAAATCAGCATGGAAAGAACCACGAGAAGACACTGGAATCAGAGAGGGTGCTGAAGGCCCAGGCCATCAGTGGCCTTTGGTTTTCTTACTCTGGGGAAATGGAAAGCAAACGATGTTCTGGGTGAAGGAGTAGCCTGGGATAAATCATTTGTCCCGGGTCACACGGAGTCAGCATTCTAACCTGAGCTCACAAACTCCTCGGTTTTCACTATCCTGGAAGTAAATCCTGTTAAAATGTCTTCATACTCTCAACATTCCCGGAACAGGATGAGAAGAAGGGGAGAGGGGAGAGGAACTCAATTTAGAAAGAGCAAATCCCGAAAGGCTTCCCAGAGGAAGCAGAGCGGGTAACTGGGTGGGCGAAGGAAAACCTGCCGTGGTCTGTGTGTGGGCGCAGGCATGTTCTGGGATGTTTGTATTCATCCCCACCCCCTGGCCCCCTTCTCCCAACAACTGGAACAAATACTCCAGAGGGTCAGCTTCAAGGGAGGAAAGACATATTTAGACTCCGGGTGTTGGTGGCTTCGGTCTTGGTCAGCTGATCCATTGCTTGTGGGCCTGTGGGCAGGTGGCAGGTTATTGTGGGAGCTCATGGCCGAGGAGGTGCTTGCTTCCAGATAGCTGAGGAAGAAAGAAAGAGATGAAGAGACCAATGTCCCACAATCCCCTTTGAGGGCAGCCCTCAGTGATAGGAGAGAGATGGGGGAGATAGAAGAGAAAGAAGCAGAAGGAGGAGGAGGAGGAGGAGGAGGAGGAGGAGGAGGATACACAAGCAGGTGTCAGTCAGCTTTCTGTCACTGTAACAAAACACCTGGTTAACTAACTTCGTTTTCTTTGGTTGTAATGTTTTTATTGTTATTGTAAAGATGGTGTATGGAGGGGTGACAGTTACATGCGTCAGATAAGGAGGACATTTCTTTCTGGACGTTTCCCCTTCCCTGATTCTCTCCCAGTTTTTCCCTCCCGTCCCCACCCACAAGTTGCACAGCTCCTTTTCAACACAGTGTCCAGTTTTCTGTGCCTCCCCTTACCCTCCCAAAGACAGATAAAGGAACAAGGAAGACAAAAAAGAAAAGAAAGACATCAACAAAAGGAAAAAACAAACAAACAACTCTTGTTTCCATTTCCTGGAGTTCATTTCGATGAATGGTATTTTGTATGATCAGAGGCACATAGGCGCATTGTACCTTTGTATTCCTTTCCCAACCTCTAAAGGGGTTCTAAAGTGGTCCTGGAAACTTCAGTCCCAAGATGGGGCAGACCAAAGGCTTTGCCCCTGGCGGGAGAGCCAGATGGGAAAGGCAGGGGGTGTGTGGTGGGCCAAACTGCTTGCCTGGTGCCCAGGAAGCAGAAGAGAAAAGGTGAGGGCCCCCCAGTCCCCATCAAAGACACAACCCAAGGACTTAACTTCCTCCCACCAGGCCCCGCCCTCTAAAGGTCTTCCACCAACCCACAGCGCCACCCTGAGGCCCAAGTCTTTAACATGTGGTTCTTTGGGGCCGGGCACAGACGCCAGGTAGAGGCTGATCTCATAAACCAGCAAAAGGTCTTTGACCCTCGTCCTATCATTGACAGGATGCACCCACAGCCTGTGGAGCAATGGGTGGGAAGCTTGTAGTAGTAGCCGGCTGGGTCAGAGAGAGGACAGATGTACACAAAAAAAGCTAGCAAGCACTAGGAGAGGAAGGGACAGTTTGTGGGTGATGCTTGAGACAGGAGGGACAAGGAGAGCTGGACAGAGGCATCTAGGATGCTCTGGTCTGGGCCTTGTGGAACAGATGTGCGGCCAGGTGATGCAGCATGTGAGCTAGCTGCAGGAGGCCACAGTATGCACGTGACTGCACCTGCTCACCCTAATTGTGTCCCCCACCCCTCCTCCTCCCTGTGCTTTCTCCTCCAGAGGGCCAAGGTAGGCCAAGGAAACAAGACTCCCGAAGAAAAGACCACCAACACCATCTCCAAGTTTGACAACAACGGTAACAGGGACCGGATGAAACTGACCGACTTCAACTTCCTGATGGTGCTGGGGAAAGGCAGCTTTGGCAAGGTAAGGTGTGCCTCGGTGTGCCAGGGTGGCTGCAGCCACTCCAGCAAGGACAGCAGTTCCATGGGGCTTGGTGTTCAGGGGGGAGAAAGAGGCAAAAGGAAACTGGCTGGGTGCCAGTGGCTCATGCCTGTGATCCAAGCTGCTCAGGAGGCTGAGATTGTAGGATCAGGATTGGAAGCCTATCCAGGCAGGAAAGTTGATGAGACTCTTATCTCCATTTAACAACCCCCCCCCCCAAAAAAAACCCACAGAAAACAAAACAAAAAGCCTACAAAAAAACAGAAGTGAAGGTGTGGCTCAAGTGGTAGAGTGCCAGCCTTGAGCACAGAGATGCTCAGGGACAGTGCCCCAGGCCCTGAGTTCAAGCCCCAGGACTGGCAGGAAAAAAAAAGAAAGAGCCAGACAGTTTGTTTACAGTGCAGACAGTAATCGTACAATGGCACCCTCCACTTCAGTATGTCCCTAGGTACATTCCTAGGTACTCTCAGAAGGTAATTTGGGGAACTTGGTTGCAGAGGGAAAGCTAGGTCCCTAATTGGGCAAAGCTTAAAGGGCTGCAGTGGGGAGCCATTGGAAGTTTTTAAGCAGGGATTCCACGTGATCTGATGTGTGTGTGTGTGTGTGTGTGTGTGTGTGTTTGCAAATGATCCTGGTGGCAGCTGAGAATGGAAACAATTTCTAACAGCGACATGGTTGAAGGACAGGTCTGGGACTCATAGAGCGATTTATAGATCCCATGAGATATTGCTTTACTGGGATTGAGCTTGTTTTGTAAGTATCCCTCACTTGTTTAGTATTGTTGTGAGTCTTTTAACTCCTCTGTGTGCTACAGAGACGGCTGGTATAAATCTCACACCATGAACTCAGGTGTATAAAAAAAAAAAAAAGAAATTTCTTCTTCATCTTGGAAACTTAAGGCAGAAATCTGAGCCCTGTCTTGTCTTTTGATTTTCCTCCTCTGTGTGTGTGTGTGTGTGTGTGTGTGTGTGTGTGTGTGTGTGTGTGTGTGTGTGTGCGTGCTGGTCCTAGGATTTGACCTCAGGTCCTTGGTGCTGTTCCTGAGCTTTGACTAGCTCTCTACCACTTGAGCCACAGCTCCACTTCTGGCTTTTTAAATATTTTTTTTTGTGGTTTAATGGAATAAGAGTCTCACATTCTTTCCTGCTCGGGCTGACCTCAAACTATGATCTTCCGATCTCAGCCTCCTGAGTAGGATTACAGGGGCCAACTTCCTCTTCTTTTTTTTTAAAAAAACCACGTCCTACCTTCCTGCCCTCCTCCTTCATACCCTGGAAAGCCATGGAAAGCCACTGGGCCTGGCCTACGAGCACACACTCCAGTCATTTCTCTCGGTTCTCACCTGCATGATAGGTGTATCACCAGAAACAGGTCAGACATTCCTAATCAATCAGCTTCCTACTCTCAGGCTTTCAGACTGTCCTCAAGAAATTTGCATCCTGTCAAGCTCCACACACACAGCTCCATCTTGAATGCAGTCTGATCCTTAGATCACTGTAATCTACCCTTGTTCTGGCTTGTCTTCTTTCCTCTTCCTTTTCCTTGTCACCCAGCTTGTTCTAGCCACAATGCTGGCTCTTAGGTTACTGAGCACAAAGCTGTCCCTTCCCTTAGAGCTTATGATTCTGCTCCCTTTGGTATTTGCATAGCTGACTACTTCTTCCTCCTTTTCTTCCTTCTCCTCCTGCTCCTCTTCCTTCTCTTCTTCCTCCCCTTCCTTCTCTTCCTGCTCCTGCTCCTCTTCCTCCTCTTCACCTTTTTTTGGTTCTAGGACTTAAACTCAGGGCATCTTGCTGGTGCTCTATCACCTGAACTATGCCTCCAGCCCTGCTTTTTGATGATTCATTGGAGATAGAGTCTTATAGACATTTCTGCCCAAGGTTGGCTTTGAACTATAATCCTCCAGATCTCAGCCTCCTGCATAGCTAGGAATGGAGTTCCCAACCCATTTTCGTTTCTATGTAGACATCCTTTTGGAGAATCTTTCCTGGCTCTTCTTCCCAAAGTAGACCCCCACCCCACCCCCATTCCTTTTCTGTTATACTGAATCTTCTTCATGAGACCCATTGCTGCCTTTTTTTTGGTGACAGGAACTAGGGTTTGACCCCAAGGCCTTACCTTGCTAGGCAGGTGCTGTATCATTCCAACCACGCCTTATTTTATTTTTCAGATACGATCCTGTGCTCTTGCCCAGGGCCAGCCTTAGATTTTGATCCTCCTCCTTATGCCTCTTGAACACGCTGGGATTACTGGTATGCTTCGCTGTGCCTGACCCTCTTCCGTTCTTGCTTTATCTTCTGCTCTTCCTAAGATCTCAGCTTTCCAAGAGGAGGGCTTTTTCTCTGCCTTGTTTTTCCAGAGCCAATAGGTTGAGTTCATTCGGTGCTCAGATTGAACACATGATGAGATTGAACACAGATGTTGGCGCTGCTTACGAGGGGAGGATTTGAGGTGATGGTCCAGAGTTTGACGAGCTTTGCCATGGAATATGAAGATAGGTTGAGGGTAGACACTCCATGAGCCTGCTGAGCAGCCCTAAGGTCCTAAGGCTAGAGTCTGTGATGTTAGAGGTCCATGCTGACTATTGCAGTTTTACCCAAGTCTCTGAGTGACCTGTGAGTAGGGATGGAGAATTGGTGACAGATGAGGATTAGTGGAATCAGTGAAGCTGATAATTATGGAAATGAGGGAGCTAGGGATTCTGGGAATCGTCTAGTAATGAGAGAGCTGGGGATTTCGGGAAGATTATGGTAATGAGGGAAGCTAGGGATTCTGGGAAGAGAGTTGTCCACTGAAGACCTAAGAGCCCAGCATTCAGACAAACGAAAATGCTATGTAGCCTGAGTTGGGACACACATCCAGCAGGAAGAAGGTAAGCATTTGGAAGGGTAAGGAACCCTAATTGGCAAAGCAAAGTATGTACAATGAAGGCAGTGCTTAGATTTCAGAGATGGAGCTGCCGTCCAGAGAGAAGGAAGAAAAAGAGCTCAGGGAAGGAGTTGATTCCACTGAAGAGTTTAACATTTTTAAGTCTGGTACAGTGGCATACTTCTATAGTCCCAGCTACCTGGAAGGCTGAGGTAGGGAGAATTGCTTGGGCTGACACATCAAGGCCAGCCAGGCAATATCATCAGACCCTGAGTCAAGGCATAATTCATAGAGAACCCTGTCCACCTGTGCAAACTATACAGATCCAGTGGTCTGAAATTGGCCACAGAGTCCTATATCCATCAAAATATTTCACCACCCAAGAAAGAAACTCCCATAACCATGAGCATATTCCCTCTTCTCCTCCCTTAGTTATATTTTCATAAGACTGCATCCACATGGTTCATAATTAAACTTACACTGAAAGCATAAACATGGAGAACCCTTGTTCCTACCCCAAGTTCACCTAATTCTGTGCGTCCCTCATGCTGCACAGATGAAGGTTGGTTTAATTTGCCTCCTGGACTAATTGAACATCCTTATTCCGATCCTCATTAACTCATGCGTTAGCATTCCAAGCACGGGTTTTCTTTTAGCCATTTAACAAGAGAGGCCAGATAGTTTCTGGTGACAGAATGGAAAGTTTCACAGGGTTTTCTGGAAAGAATCGGGGGTTGGGGGTTGTGTGAGAGTAGGGGGAAGGGACCACAGGGGAAGAGTAAAGGAATAAGAGAGAGAATAGATCATGGGTTTCCATGGTAACTGTTAAAATAATTGAGCGATCTCTTGCAGACCGAGGGAGTAGCATTGTAAGAACCATAGCTACAATGTCACAGCTACAATGTGGCTGGGAAGGAAGGCAGAATCCACAAACACCTCAACTCTAGTTGAGCCCAGCCCTGGTTTTCATGAATGCGGTTTTACATTTGAATGCATGCTTGGCTTTGAGCGATTTTGTTCAGTTGAGTTTGTGGGAGAGATCAGCCACTGTAAGCAAGAAGAGCGCAGACAGCATGGTTTTCTCTCTGCCCTCTGGAAGATGAAGGAGCCCAGTTGCCCCCCCTTTTCCCCGTCCCCCCTGCCTCCCGCCATTGGACCTGGCCCAGAAAAACTCCCTCTTAACCATTGAAGTCTGCTACAGAGCACCCAGGTAGGGAAGGACCTGTGAACATGAATCAAAGGGAAAAAGCAAGGGTGAACACCACCGAATTCCAAATGTGTTAGCCCTGTTTCCAGAGCTTACAAAAGACAAACCATTTGCCCAGGCAACTGTCCCTGTCAGGTAAGAGTGTTTGCCTGTTTGCCTGGAAAAGTCATCTTATCCGAGCATGTCACACATATATCATTGTGCCCAGATTTTTTTCCCCCCTCTTGGGTGAGATGAGATCTCAAGAACATTTTGTACAGGTCAACCTCAAACCACGATCCTCCAGATCTCAACCTCCCAAGTAGCTAGGATTATAGGGGAGGGTGGGGGGTATCCACCACACCCAACCTTACTTATTACTTCCTGTGACTGCTTGCAGTTTTATCTTCAACCCTCTAGCTTTGATTCTTTGAACCTTGAACTTCTGCTTTGCCAAACGCCCCACCTGTTCAAGAATTTCAGCTCTGTTGATGGTTGAGTGTCTGCTGAATGATGCTGTAGTTGTGCATTGTTCAATACACACACACACACACACACACACACACAGCCCTTTCCACTTTACACCTGATGTCTCCCACACCACTGAGTTTTATCCAGGCAGCATTCCGTTCATGCTGGTACTGCTTGTGTTCTGAGACTACATGTGTGTCCCTGGCAATGTTTTATGGGAGCCAAACCCCTTTAAAAGGTTCCCTTGGAAGTTTAGGCGAAAGCTTTCTTGTTCTTTCACATTCCTGGCTCTTGCCTACGGAAGATACTGTTCTGGTGAATGGACGTTGCCGGGAGCTGGGGGGCGGGGCTGGGGGGCGGGGAGGGACAGGTGGACCAGGGGAGGCAGCTGGTGTACTGTGGTGGGCATAGATCTGCCATCACACTGAAGCACAGAAATCTATGCCATGACTGATAA